TTTCATTTTTTATTTGAAAGGCAGAGTGACACAGAGAGAGTGAGAGTCAGTGACAGCGAGGTCCTACACCACTGGTTCGCTCCCCAAATGTCTGCAGCAGCCAGGGCTGGGCCAGGCCAATGCCAGGTGCCTGGAACTCCATGCGCATGGCCAAGTATTTGGGCTATTGCCTACTGCCTTCCAGGATGTACATTAGCAGAATCTGGATTGGAAGAGGAGCTGGGACTTGAATACAGGCACTCTGAGATGGGATGGTGTTTTAACAACTGTGTCAAATGCCTGCCTATCCACAGACTTTAAAAAATACATATATATTGGAGCCAGTGCTGTGGTACAGTGAGTTAAAGCCCTGGCCTGTAGCACTGGCATCCCATATGGGCGCTGGTTCTAGTCCCGGCTGTTCTTCTTCTGATCCAGCTCTCTGCTATGGCCTGGGAAAGCAGGTACCCATGTGGGGACCCAGAAGAAGCTCCTGGCTCCTGGCTTCAGATTGGCACAGCTCTGGCCGTTGTGGCCAATTGGGTAGTGAACCAGCGGAAGGAAGATCTCTCTCTCTTTCTGTCTCTACCTCTCTCTGTAACTCTTTCAAATAAATAAAATAAATTTTTAAAATACATAAATATATATATTTATTTAAAAGGCAGAGTGACAGAGAGAGAGAGAGGACGTGAGAAATAGAAGGACAGGTGGTGGGGATGGGGAGTCTTCCATCCACTGGTTAGTCCCCAGATGACTGCACTAGGCAGGAGTGGGCCAGGCCCCCAAGCACTGGAGAGGGACTGGGCTTAAAGCTGACAGTTGCTATGCTGTTCTGCCTACTCCTCTTCAGACCCACCCTCCTGTTAATGCACCTGGGAAGGCAGCAGAAGATGGCCCAAGTACCTGGGGTCCCGGATGGACTTCCTGGCTACTGGTTTCAGCCTGGCCAAGCCCTGGCTGTGCTGAGCATCTGGTAGTGAACAAGCAAATGGAAGGTCTTTCTCTCTGACTCTGGCTCAAAACAAAAAGAAAGAAAAGAGGGGCCGGCGCCATCTCTCCCTTGGTTGATCCTCCGCCTGCAGCGCCGGCATCCCATAGGGGCGCCGGGTTCTAGTCCCAGTTGCTCCTCTTCCAGTCCAGCTCTCTGCTGTGGCCCAGGAGGGCAGTGGAGGATGGCCCAAGTGCTTGGGCCCTGCACCCGCATGGGAGACCAGGAGGAGGCGCCTGGCTCCTGGCTTCGGATTGGTGCAGTGCGCCAGCCATTTGGGGGAGTGAACCAACGAAAGGAAGATCTTTCTCTCTGTCTCTCTCTCACTGTCTATAACTCTACCTGTCAAATAAAAAAAAAAAAAAAAAAAAAAAAAGAAAGAAAGAAAGAAAGAAGGAAAGAAAGAAAGAAAAGAAAAGAAGAAAGCATGTCTCCTGCTAAGTGTGGTTTTTCCCCATGTACTTAGAGAGCTGCTCTTCTAAAAATTGACTGTATCCTTGGGGATTTTGCTAACACGCAGGGCATGCTTCAGTTGATCTGGTCTTGAGCTTGAGGTTGTATCTCACACATGCTTCCAGGCAGGGAAGTTGCTGCTGCTCCCGGACCACATTAGCAGAGAAAAATCCAAACTTTCTTCCCATGTCCTACTTTATCTGGCCCCTGCCCAGCTCTCCCACGTCATCTGCAACCTCTGTTCTCCTCTCTCATCATGCTGCAGTCACACTGGCCTTCGTTCTGTTCCTGGAGGCGGCCAAGTTGTCCCCACTTCAGGGTCTTTGCACGTGATGTTCCCACCGCCTGAAATGCCGCTTTCCTGGAGCCCCACGTGGCTCGCTGCTTTGCTTTATTTAGATCTTAATTCAAGATCAAAGATCAGTCGAGCACTTCTCTGACCCTTCATCTAATGAAGCACCTCGTCCTCTCGGGTCTATCAGCTATCTGCTTGCCTTTTTTTTTTTTTTCCTTTTTCCTAGCATCTGTCACTCTCTGAATTTATCTGGTCATACCTTTATTGTTAATTTCCTGTCTCCACTTCCATTCCAAATGTTTAAGGACTTGGTTTCTTTCACTCTGAGCCTATCCCAAGCCCGGCCCATGGTACGCACCCCTTTCATGTCTGTTGGACCTCTGGGGGACCATGCTTCCAAGGTTGCTGTGGCACTGAGACGCGTTCCAAGCCGGGAGAACTTAGAGTGACACTGAGGCAGACTGGAGGGAAGGGGGAGGAGGATGCAAAGTTTCTGTGCTGAGAATGATGCTGAAAAGCATGTCTCAAGCACCTAGACATGACGTTGAACCTCAGGATCATCACCTAATACACGGAGTCGCCTAACTCGAAGAGACTCACTCTGGAAGCAGGTGGGGGAAGAAGGTGACTAAGGTGAGTTCAGTGACTTCCTGAACACTTGGCTAGTGTCAGTGAGCAACAGTAACTGATGACTGATTAAATAACTAAATAGCTGCTCTTGCTTTACGACTATCCCGACTATCCCGTAGTTAGCCATTCATTTCCCCACACATTATCACTGTCTTGGAAATGAGGAGCCTATCTGAGATTAGGAGACCTGCCCAAGGTCATGCAAGACTGGCAAATGAGAGACGGAGCTGACAACCCTGCTCCCTGTACCAGCTCCGTCAGAGTGGTAAGAAGCCCAGCCCCCTTCCCTGCTTCAGGCCACCACCTCACATTCTGCTTACTTGTTTGTCTGTCTGTCCATTTCCTCTCGCCAGGGTATAGATTCCCTGCGGGTAAGGATCTTTGTTTTCTTCCCTCGAGTTTCCCAGAGCCCAGGACAGGGCCTGCCACACGGGCTCACGCTTAAGGAACGCTTGCTGAACGTTAGAAGGTTGGATGAAGGAATTCTTTGCAAATCTTTGCTTTCTGCACCTCGATGAGGCAGCTCTGTAGATGTGTGGCTGTGAGAACACTAAATCCAGTGGGGAGGGCTGGCGTCCACTGAGACCACCTGGGAAGGGCAGCTGCGGACCCCTGGATGCTTTAGGCCATCAGAGGGAAGACTGAGTCTGTGGGAGAGGGGCCGGGCAGCCGGGGAGCCGCATGCACCCCATCTCCAGCCCTGACACCACCATCCTGGCGCTGCGTGGGGGCGTGCATGCCGCAGGCTGGCGGTGGCCTTTCTCAGGACGTGACTTCCCACATTAAGTGGCCCTGGAGGGACAATGTGTTGACCAGGCCCCAGTGGCAATTACAAGCTTGATGTAAGTGCACAAATAGGCACTTATCAGGAAATCTCTTGCAAATTGCATTAGAGTGAGTCATTCGTGCAAGCCTAGCAGCTCTGGCTGCTGGACACATGGAGGTTCTGAGCCGGCCAGGTGGAGCCGAGGCTCGTCTCTCAACATTGCTCTCTGGCCCGCAGCATCAGCACCACCAGAACCTGCTGGAAACACATGCGCTCCGGCCCCATCCTCTGACCTGTGTGACAGGGAACTAGGGACGGCTTTGTCCTGCCAGGAAGGAACAAGCTCTCCGGGTAATTCTGAAGCAAGGTCAAGTCTGCGAGCCTGATGACAGTTTCTCTTTCAGGGCAGTTATTGCTCTGCTGCAAGGGGCAGGGCGGGGTTAAGGTGGCAGTCAGAGGTGGGGGAGAATTCATAGGTCCAGTGCGGGGGTTCTGTTACAAACCCAGTGAGGACCGCGTCAGTGAGTCTTCACGGGGAGGGGCAAGGAGACCCCTTGTGTTTCAAAAAATCCCAGAGCGGGGGTTAGTTTGTAAAAGCACATTTTACAGTTATCATAATTTCCTTTCTTCTTTAAAGAACATTTATTTCTTTGAAAGGCAGAGTGATGGGGGAGATATCGCCCAACTGCTTGTTCACTCCCCAAATGGCCACATTGGCAGGGTCTCAGCCAGGAGCTCCATCCTGCCTTTAGACATGATATTTATTTTGAAATGCCAAATGACATTAACAGAAAGTGTAACGTATTTATTTATTTGAAAGGCAGAGAGAGAGAGAGACAGAGACAGAGAGATCTTCTTTCTCCTCCTTCATTCCTCAAATGCCTGCAGCAGCAGGCACAGGGCCAGGCTGAAAGCCAGAAGTCTGGAGCTCCAGCCCGGTCTCCCATGTGGGGGGCAGGGACCCAAGCTCTTGAGCCATGGCTGCTGCCTCCCAGGAAGCTGGAACTGGAAACACAGGCAGGATTCGAACCCAGGCACTCCAATATGGGACTCGTCTCAAGTGAGGTCAACCGCTGTGCTGAGCGCCTGCCCCTATAGAAGGTGTAATACAAACTGCCACCCAGTACCATTGTCTATTCTCAAGTGAGAATGTGCGTGGATCCCACCTCCTGTCCAGTCCTCACCCTGAAGAAAGCTCCATCTGTCTACACACACACACACACACACACACACGCACACGCGCGCGCCTAAGCCTCAGCTGGGCTGAGAGATAAGAGCCACCGGCACAGGACCGGACCCAAAGAGCGGCCACGCCGCCTGCCCAGTGTCACGGGCCCTCGCTGTGTGCCGCGCTCCGGCCTGGATTTTGCTCTGTGGGGATAAATGAGAGACTTGTGCCACCAAGGAGCGACAGAAAACTCCACATTCTTCCTGCTGGCGAGTCTCGCGGGTCCGGAGCTGTCTCACCTGGATGGGCGTCTGGTGTCTCGGGTTCGCAGAGAGCACACGGGGTGACCCGCGGCGGTGGAGGTGGGCGCAAGCGCCACGGGCGCCGCCGCTCGACCCTCAGGACCGCTACCCCCGGCGCCAGCCATCAGCCCGCAGCCATGCGCGCCCGGACGCCCTTGCGCTCTGAGAAAGGGCCGCCGCCCAGAGTCGCATCCCGCGCCTGGCGAACCCCGACACTTATTTTGTGGGCCGCCTCCAGGAGAAAGTCCTTTCATTTTTCTCCACGCCTGAGAACTCCCACTGGTGCAGACAATTAAAAGTGCGGTGTGAGCCATTACAGAAGTACTTCAAGCCCCTTCCCACTAGATGGCGGCCCCTCAACCCACATAAACGTTCCGGAACCTCCCCTGTCCGGGAGTTCCAGGGCTCGGCTGCCGCTGAGGAACGGTGGGATGCACACCCTCCTCTCGTCCAGCGGGATACGGACCCCCTATCCGGCCTGATTCGGGAGCCGCCGGCAGCTCCTAGGCCGAGGCGGGCGGCGGGGGCGGGTGGGAAGAGGGGGCGCCCAGACCCTCAGCGCCGGGGCCAGCAGCGGCGCGGAGCAGCCCCTCCCGGGAGGATAGCCGGGGTGGGCTCTCCCGCGGCACCCCCGCTCGCCGGGAGCCCAGAGCCCGCCGCCCGGCGCGGACAGCTGGCCCCGAGGGCGCGGGCCGCGCGGCAGGTGCGCGGCGCGGACTACAAGTCCCAGCATGCCCCGCCGCCCTGACCCGGCCCCCGCCGCCGCTTAAAGGCTCCGGGAGCCGCAGCCGTCGGGTCGCCGCGGCTTTCGCTTTGCTGCGGCTGCTGGGCGGGCGGGAGGAGCGGACTCGGCGGCCGGCTCTCCCGGCGTCCGGGCTCTGGCCACGCCGAGGGGCGCGCCTCGTCCAGCCCTCCGGGCTCGGGGACTCCCTGCCGAGGCGCCCGCGCCCCCGACCCCCGCCCCGGGCTCCT